TAGATGTGACCGTGAGCCATTTGGGACCTTGGGGACAAGGTCACAAGGAGTTGGCAAAACAATGGGATGGAAAGAGCCTTCGTCTCTGGCACAGGGAAGCCACCAGAGGAGCCCTAATAATATCCAAAGGGTCCCAGGAGGGAAACCCAAGGCATATCCTGTTAAAATTACTATTACGTTGAGTTTGAGGACTGCTAGATTTGTATCCTCACTACCCAATCTGGGTAGTCACGTAGAAATCCCCCAAAACATGTGACTATTCCTTACCAAATACCTTTCACTCTGCATTGATGAAACCACATTGAAAGGCTCTGAACTTGTCTCTTACCCTGAGTTTGGACCTCAATGTTATGTACTTACATGCTACTATTTTCTCCTATAGCTGAAAACCTAGATCATTTGGCTTCATAAGTGAAGCAAAGGTTGTCCTACCCACTAGTCCAATGAGCACAGCTGAGAGGAGTCAGGAAGTGAGTAGAAACTGAACTAGAAGCCAGGAGATCCAGGTTCTGCTGGGCGGCAATGGGAATGCCATTTATCCTCTCTGGGGAAATGGTTCAACATCAAAATTGTTCAATTCTTCTTATGTAAGCTTCATTGATAAATGGTAAACAACTTCACAGTAACTCTACAAGTCAAGGTTTTCTTAGAGGCTGTTGGGAATACCTAGCATCACTCAATGGAAGACACCAGAGAAATAGAAAAGTGACATCTTCCTGGAGTCCTTTCTCCAGCAGCTCTAAGGAAGCCTATGCAGAGCAGAGAGGAGGAAGGACTTGTAGGGATTTCTGTTTTCTCAAGTGCCTACAGGAAATCAGAGAGCATTTTCCAGGGCTTTGCTGCAGGGGAAGTATTAGATTTAAGGGCTGGAAAAATTTCCCTCTGTCCTGAGAACTGCAGGAAGTTAGCAACCCTGGTGCTTGTCCACTAAAATGCCCACACATATTCCATACCACCCCCCCCCACACACACACACACATTTGCAAAATATCTCCAGTCAGGAACCATTGCTAATCCATCCTGCCATTTTATAGTCTCAAAAAGAGATTCAGAGGAGCTCAGTGACCTTGGACAAGGTCACTCTTGCTCTAATGACAAAGCAGGGACTAGATGCAATGTCTTCCGATTCCTAGATAAGTTTTTTCTCTCTAACCTTGGATAGACCCAAACAGAATCACTGTTCTGGGTCAACAAGACCAACAGGTAACAGAGCAGATGGATGGTGCCTCTACCTTGGGTGAACTAGACAATCTACTTAGATGCCAGGAGAAAACAGAAGAACTTTCTATTTCTATTCTATCTCTTCCTTTAAAAAATTCTGTGGGTTTTAAAAATGTACATAATATATTAGTACAGTGGTATATGTATAATTTATAAATACATAAATATACATACATTGATGCATGTTCAAATATTTTTTTAACTGATGGTATGCATGATCAAAAAGTGTGGAAACCACCAGTCTCAACATCCTTTTCGTTTCTAACTCTAAAATACTATGAAATGATCCTGATTTGTTTTACTATTTTGTTTTCCAGAATGACATCTATAGGCTATTCTTCTAAGACAAAAGATACAGTGGGTGTGAAATACTAATCAAATTGGAAGCCTTTAGAAGGCAGATTATCCAACAATGCATCAGAATTCCACATTAAAAACCAAGTTATTTTGCTCAATTTATCATTTTAATCAGATCAACCATTTGTCAATCCAATCCCCTATTTGGCATTTAATCTGGAAAAATCACATCAACCATTTTTAGATGCTGGGTCCTGCCTTACGGAAAAGACAATCTGGATTTGTCAGAGTAAATAAAGGAGAGGTTAAGGGAAGGAAGGGTGCCTCCAGGGTGCGGATCACTAGTTTTAACATTTTCTCTCTTTTTCAATCAGTTTCACCTAGGCTCGAAACAGAGCTTAAATTACTTCAACCTTTAAAGATGCTTCTCTTAACCTTAGTCTGCCATGTGAGGTGAAGCAGCACACACAAGGATAAAAGCAGTTCCTCTCTAAAAGATTAAAAATACACCTAGTGCACTCAGAAGTTCCTGCTTGCCCAAGAGGCGCACTCTCCACTGCCTTAATCAGTGTGAGGGTTGCAGCAAAATTCAACATTTTAATGAAATTCCCACCAAATTCTGCACTGGGGTAGGATTTCCTAAAACATACTTACAAAAATTCCCTGTTGATTAGGTTGTACCTGGAGAACAACAACAAAGAGAGAGAGGGGGTGGGGGGGGGAGAGTGAGAAAACACTATCAGGACTGAAATGAACCCACAGCACCTGCCCCTTCTCTCTAGCTATAGCCAGGGTAGCAAACACGCATCTGTGCAATGTGAATTTTATCAAGCACTTACCCTAGTTCTTATTCTATGCCTGGTACCATGCTGAGGGTTTTACATCCATCACCTCTTTTAATACAACATCTGTATTCTAAGGATGGTAGGATATAGTACAGAGGTTCCTGAACCTTCTGTGTTCATGGCACACTGAGTTTCTAACATACAATTTTTATAGCATCTCTAGACCAAAAGAAATGCCCCTCACAATTCCATTTGTTAAGTAGTTATAGCCAAACAACTTGTTAGTACAGTAGTTCACACAGACATTGCTATTTTCCTTGAAAATTTTAAATATTGTGTGACCTTGTGAGCTTGCTACAGAGCCCCAGGGCTCCCTGAAGCACAGCTTGGGAACCACAGATCTACCACCTGTGGCACAGATACTATCAGAGTCCCTATTTTGTTGATGGGAAATGGGCCCAGAAAGGTTACCCAGCTGGTTGGATGTAATATGGGAATCTGAAAGCACACAGAAACCCAGAGCCACTCTGCTGTCAGGCTGTCCTCTCTCCCTGACTTACTGTACTACATCCAGTTACCACCTCCTCTCTCCATGCTGTATACACTGCAACTCCCCCCACCCCAACCAAACACACATGCACACAGGCATATGCACACATGCACACTTATTCCTGGGCTTCAAACCATTCCCTCCCATTGGGATGCCCCTCCCTTGTACCTGCTTTTCTAGAAAGTTCCTTGCTTCTATTTCCAGCCCTAAGTTAACTCTGGACTGCTTGGTCCTACACTCATCTTTTCTTCTTCAGGAAGGAAAAGACTGTAAGTGCCATGTTAGTGACAGTTGATATGTCTTACGTTGTTCTCTAATTGCATTATTGGTATGAGTGTGGTTTTTCCAATAAGACTAAATGTTTGCCCCAAAATAGGGATGGTGAATTATCTCATGCTAGACATGTAGAAACCACTGTGCCAGTTTGTTGAAATCAGCAAGATGATAAATGCTAGAATTTCACAGCATATGCCAATGACTGGATGTAAATAACAGAGAATATATTTAACATAAATGTCATCAGGAATGGTAACTAACATCTGTAAGGCCTTTTTACACTTTAGGAAAGACTTTTTGCATACATGATTTTATTTGTTTTTTGCAACATTCTGTATTATCTCCTTTCATGGGAGAAAGTGGAAGCTTAGGCAGGTTAAGTGGCTTTGGCCAAACTTGCAACATGTAAGTACAAAAAGCAGATCTGGAAACCCACTGTATTGATTTCCTTCCTGGCCCTATTTTCTCACTTCCCTGCAGTCTCCTTCACAGAGATGTCAATTTTCAGCCCAGATCCCATATGATAGACAGGCTTTCAATTTCAGAAGTACTGTCCCAGTCCCTAGCCCTAAACTCTCAATACCTCCACTGAGATGCCGTGACCCCGCAGGACATAAGGCTGGGCTGGCTATGGGCACTTCCAGGGAAAATGTTGATCCTTTGGTTGAGGTCAGTGGGTCTGTGGAAAGTTCCATAGCTATCAAGAGGACAAGGAACCTCAAGTTTGTGGTTTCCTAGACAACCCAATCTCCCCTGTTAGGTAGTGTGAACCACAAAGGCTGGGGCTGTCAGCTTCTGAGGCTAACAGGGACTGCTTAACAAAAGTCTAGGTCAAAATTAAAAGCATGCCATGAAAATACAAGCAAGCTGGAAGTGTGCATCCATTCTTTATGGGTCACTAGCTAGTTCCGGAGTTCAGAAATATCAGCCTTGGGTTTACAGTAGATGCTATTTCTTACTAATATATGACTTGAGGACATTGTTTCACCTCTCTGAGTCTCAGCATTCCTGTTAGTAAGATGAGATCATAGGATAGTCATGAAGATTAAATGGAAAAACAAATGTAAAGCATGAGGGGACAGAGCCTGGTGGGTGACAGACACTAAATAAGTAATAGCCACTTATCAAAGATGACAAATAGTTTTCAAACTGGGCTGCACCTAGCAGGCACTTATTAAATAGGACAGACAAACACTGCCTCCGCATTAGAATGGCGTTAAGGGCACTGCTGTAACTCCTTGTAGAGCCCCTCAAAGACTCCAGCTGAGAGGTTATAGTAGCAGAATAAGGAAGGAAGAGAGTGAAAGAAAAGAAACCAGAAGATGCCTAAGGCAAGACGTTACCCAGAGGGACCTTAAAGGGAAACAAAAGAAACAGAGGAAGAGCTGACGATTGGTGCTGAGCTTGACAAGGAAAATAAACAACTTAGACCATTTGAATATACATTTCAAATTACATCATTTTCTTCTGCATTGTGTCTCCAGGCAGTGGGGAAGATACAAACGTGTTATATTTATTTCTAAGGCTTTATTGAAATTGCAACAAACTAAAAATCAAAATTGAACTTTATGAAGAAAACAAGGGGGAAAAATAGCCATAAGGTCACTGTTTCCTCTCATGACAAAATGGGCTTGAGTCCTGCATTTGCACCAGGATTCTTTTATCAAATGCCTGCCTTTCTGGAAAGATAGATGGCAGTTTTCAGAAGCAATGTACACAAAGACATTTGGAAATTCTAAAGGACTGTGCAGACATTCGTTATGATTATTACATGGATGGCAGCTCACGTACTAACTTGGAAATCTTTCTGAATCTTCCCCCAATAACAAGGCCCAGGTGTTCTGAGGGGCTGCCAGCATGGACATACTCACAGCAACTGGGGTATCCTGGCTGAGAGGCACACTGTGCGACCGCTCCTGCAGGGACTTATCTGCATCGACCTCAGAGTAAAAGACCTTGAAAAGACACAGACACCTGGTAAGAACAGAGTCTCTACTTCACCAAGATCAAAGGTTTGAATTGCTCACAAAGAAAGCAGGTTCTGAGGTGCATCAGGCCACCCCACTAGTTCCTAGTTCTGTGGGAATGAACGTCAGACATGCCTGGTGTGGTTACAAATTCAGAAGCCTGCAGAGGCCGGGAGGAAGACAATGTATCTGTGAAGGGGGGTGGGGGCTGGACCCTGCTCCTCTCCTATGTCCCCAAACCATGACCGTATCAGGTAATCTTGCAGCTCCCCATATTTGGTATGCCATGAGTTCAGAAATATGTCTCTCTAAGAAGACCAGAGGACGAGGTCATGATGAATACTTGCTGATGGTGAACTGGAGTCTGTAAGGACTGGTCAGACTTGAGGGCTTTCATCCCATCTCAATGGGTCCTTCATCTCCAGTGGGCTTGGTGTCCCATAGGAATATGGGATCAGTGTGTCCAACTGTCTGGATGTCTCAGAGATTTCAGAACTCCAAATATTTATCTGAAATACCCTGACTTCTAAAACTTGTTTTATTTTTAATAACACTACTTAACAAAAACATTTTGGAGAACCAAAATCTGCCCAATTTTCAGCCTCTAATTGTAGGGTATCTTCTATGCTCCCTCCTCCACTTTGCCTGTCCATATCTTTCATTCAGTTCATACATTTGTTTGTACTTATTGATAACATTCCACGGTGGCTCCCTATGATTTCTCAGGTTTCTGTATTATTCTCCCAATGATATTAGGCAATTGGATAGCAGAAACCATATCTTCTACTTGCTTTATATTTTTCCATTGCTGCACAGAGAAAGAACTCGATAGATCCTGATTAATGCAGAGGTCATTCCCAGGGATCTTAGAAATGCCCTTGAAATATTTCTTATAGTTTCACCAGAAGAGAATGAGGGGGTTATTAATATGAGAGGAGTGGTAGTAAGGAGGTCATAGACAGGTTGAGCACCCTTAATCCACAAATTCTGAAATCTGAAATGCTTCAAAATCTGAAACTTTTTTGTGCCTGATGTGACATCAAAAGTAGATAATTTCACATCTTACTTCATGTGATGGGTCACAGTCAAAATGCAAGTCCACTAAAAATATTACCTTCAGACTATGTGCATAAGGTTTATGTAAAACAAATGAATCCTGTATTCAGACTTGGGTCCCATCCCCATAACATCTTATTATGTATATGTAAATATTCCAAAATATGAAAAGAGTCAGAACTGCAAAACACTTCTGATCCCAAGCATTTTGAATAAGGCATACTCAACCTGTTCAGGAGGTACAAAGATAGGGAGTATGTACAGTCACCCCAACACACCCACTGCAGAAATCCCCACATGTACTCACGGTGTATCCAGTGACTGGGCTTCCAAGATGCCGTGGTGTTTTCCACTGGATGCTGAAAGCTGTGCAGTTCAGGGCACCCAGCTTGATGTCAAGAGGAGGCCCCACCTTGCCTGCCCCCAAACAAAGAAATTATGTTAAAAGATCAATGCATCTTACCATCAGCGTATTTACACAAGATTTAAGAGTGTGTACTCACAAAAGAAGAACATGCTTAAAGACGGCTCCACAGGCCAGAAATGTAGTCATCCCTCTGATGTGCCACCCCTGTCTCACTTGACCTCACCACATTTTTGCCATCCTCTCCCAACCTGTCACTGGTAGAGAAATCAGCCCCACTATTGACCTTGGTCCATTTCCATAAGTTCTAATAGTAACGGGCCGGAAACCAAGATTTTGTTTGTTGTAGACCAGACATACATGACTTGACTCTAGGCATTTGAAATGGATGCAAGAAAGACAATGAATTTTTATTTAACCATTATATATTATAATATATAATTATAATTGAACTAATGAAGAACCAAAAAGATCACTGAAGATTAAATTCCTGAGTAGTGAAAGTTGTAGGTGTGGGGGGCAGGAGAGATCTGTCTCTGGTTCTGCATTAGTCTGCTTATATAGCTAGTATTTTATTATAATGAAACATTTTAAAAATATGGTTAAGTATAAAATAAGATTTTTCATTTTTTTTCAAACATTTTACTGTCTACTTGTCTTAAACCATTTTATAATTATAAACTCTAAAGCAACATGCAAATTGTCATAATTTAGAAAATGAAAAAGATCATATCATTCTGAGATGAGTCCTATTGGCATTTTGGTATGTCTCCTTTGGATTATATACAACATTTTAAAAAGTTGTTTGATTCTCTGTGTGGTTTTTATTGCTTTGAATTGTTGTAACTATAATGTAGTAATTATGTACAGATACATATAGGCTCGTAGTTTTAAATTTTATTTCACGTAATTTACAGTCATTAAAATCATTATGTTTAATGGCCATAAATGCTTCCCTGCAATGCATGTGCCATAATTAAGAGAACTTGGCATTCTGCTGTTGTCAAACAATGTATCTCTCATGTTTTGCCATTTAAAATAATGTCCATGAGGGCAGGAACCAGGTCAGCCTTGATCAGTATACAGAGACTAGTAAGCAGAAGGGCTCAATGAACATTCCTTAAATGAGTGAATGTTCTGCACTGCGATTTTCCACTTACTAATGTCTTGATGTGCTTTCTTTTTATTGACAACATACAATTCTCCTGCATATCAATGAGGATACTTTGCAATTCACAGAGATCCAATATATCTATTTATTGCACTAGGGCCAATTTGTTACCGGGGATGCTCACCAATGTTTTTTCTTTATTACACTGGAGTGTTTTTATTACTCAAATTTATTTTAATGATTCAATAAAGCAGAGGAAATTTCTCAATTAACCCCACATATTATGTGGTATTAACATGATATTGCATATATTTTATAAAAGTCTCCAGATATACCTCAGATTTTTCTTATTATTTACTGAGTAACTAAGTAATCAGTTGTCTCACCAACGTTTTTAATAAATCAAACCCAAAGTCCTCTGGTAGACCAAGTAATAGAGGCTCAATTCTGTCACTTAGCAGAAACTGTGAGACTAGGAGACAGCTCTCTCCTGCCCCCCCCACACCTACAACTTTCACTACTTCAGTGATCTTTCTGGATCTGCATTAGTTCAAGATTTAAAGTCCCATCAGATTGGCTAAACTCAGGCCATGTGCTTCCTCTTGGCTCAACCAAGGGTCTGGAGAGGAAGGATCAGTCCTTTCTGGTTTTCTAACTAGAAAATGACCTCCTAGGGGAATCCTGGGCAATGCTCTTATACTACCCTATCCACAGAAAAGACGACACCCAAAAGGAAGAGAAGATCATAGGAAAAGAGTCATGGAAGGTCTTATGTCCCCAAATTCTCTTATATAGAGCATGCATGTACATTTAGAATATTGGCATATTCCTTTTTGCACACATGTTCAAATATTTCTAAGATAAATACCTATGAAAACATAATGAGATACATATATCTCAATTTTTACTAACCACTGATATTGCTCTCCCAAAAAGATTGAATAAATTTTTAAGTATGTTCTGTCATTCAATTGGGGTAAATTCTTAAAGCAAAATTGCTGTGTCTAAGACAGTTTCTTAACCTTGGCACTACTGACATTTTTTAAGTATACTCAAAAGACTTTAAAACAGCATACTATAGGGACACAGTTTAATGTTTATAGCAGCACAATTCACAACTAGCTAAACTGTGGAACCAACCTAGATGCCCTTCAGTAGATGAATGGATAAAAAAATGTGGCATATATACACAATGGAATATTACTCAGAAATAAAAGAGAATAAAATCATGGCATTTGCAGGTAAATGGATGGCGTTGGAGAAGATAATGCTAAGTGAAGTAAGCCAATTCCCCCCACCCCAGAAAAAATGCCAAATGTTTCCTCTGATATCAGGAGGCTGATTCATAGTGGGGTAGGGAGGGGAAGCATGGGAGGAATAGACGAACTCTAGATAGGACAGAGGTGTGGAAGGGGAAGGGAGGGGGCAGGGAGTTAGAAATGATGGTGGAATGTGATGGACATCATTATCCAAAGTACAGGTATGAAGACACAAACTGGTGTGAATATACTTTATATACAACCAGAGATATGAAAAATTGTGCTGTATATGTATAATAAGAATTATAATGCATTTTACTGTCATTTATTTTAAAAAAAATCAATTAAAAATATTTTTAGTTATAGATAGACAAAATAACTTTATTATTTATCTATTTTTATGTGGTGCTGAGGATTGAACCCAGTGCCTCACACGTGCTAGGCAAGTGCTCTACCACTAAGCCACAACCCCAGCCCCACTATTGACAGTTGGATGGTTTATGTAGGGTATGTATGATTGCATCAAAGGGTGTTTGACAGCATCCCTGGTCTCTCCCCAACCCAGCTGTGAAAACCATGATATCCCAACATTGTCAAATGACCCTGGGTTGGGGCACAAAACTGACCTCCCCCACCTATTGACAACTGCTGATTTAAGAGAATGAATATATTAGAGAATTTTAATAAATATAATCAAACTTACATCTAGAAAATGAACTAATTTGGAAGCTTATGTTATTGTATGGGGAAACCTCATATAAATAATACAGGTAATAAAGTGAGCAACTCCCTTAAAATTTTCAGCTTTGCAAAACACACTGTCAAGAGAATAAAATGATAAGCCACATATTGGAAAGAATATTCACAAAAGACTTATCTAATAAAAAATTGTTAGTAAAATATACAAATGCTGTAGGCTGCATATTTGTGTCCTCCCAAAATTCTTATGTTGAATATAATCCCCGTTGTGATATCATTGGGAGATGGGCCTTTTCAGGGGGATTAGGTCATAAGGAGAAGCCCTTGTGAATGGGATTAATGTGCTTATAAAAGAGTCCTCACACTGTGTCCCTTCCTCTTTTCCTATAAAAACACAGCAAACGGACCAGGGAGCAGGTCTTTACCAGATAGTGACTCTGTCAGTCCCTTGTTCTTGTACTTTGCATATTCCAGAACTATAAGAGACAAATTTCTGTTGTTTGTAAGCCACCCAGCTCATGGTATTTTGTTATAGCAACTGAACAAACTAAGACAGCAAAAAACTCTTACAACTCAACAACAAGAAAACAACCCAATTAAAAACTGGATCAAAAAATCTTATCAAATAAGATCTGCAGATGGCAAATAAGCATATCAAATAATCAAATGTCATCCTGGAAATGTAAATAAAAACAATGAGATATCACTGAGTATTTATTCAAATGGTCAAAATCCAGAACACTGACAACACCAAATACTGGCAAGTAGGTGAAGTTACAGGAACTCTCATTTGCTACTGGTGGGACTGCTAAATGGTACCATCAGTTTGCAAGACAATTTGGTGTGGTTTTTTTTTTTTTAAATAAAACTAATCATATTCTTGTATTATCCAGCATTGGCACTCCTTGGTACATAAAGAAGTCAAAAACTTATCTTTACACAAAACTCTGCAAAACGGACCTTTATTGTGGTTCTATTCATATATGTTAACACTTGAAAGTAACCAAGATATCCTTTAGTAACCAAAATTCACCTTTAGTAGGTGAGTGGATAAATAAACTATGGTACATGCAGACGATGGACTATTATTCAGCACTTAAAAGAAATTAAGCCATGAAAAGACATGGAGGAGACTTAAATGCATATTACTAACTGAAAGAAATCAATCTGAAAAAGGCCACATATTGTGTGATTCTAACTATATGATGTTCTGGAAAAGGCAAAACAATAAAGACAGTAAGAAGATCAGAGGTTTCAACAGATTAGGGATTGTAGAGAAGGAAGGATAAAAAGTGAAGCTCAGAGGAATTTTATGGCAACAAAACTATTTTACTCTAATGATGGATAAAGTCCTGTTCATTCGTTCCGCCCATAGTGTATACAACACCAAACATGAAATCTCTAACTACTGACTTTAGGCGAAGTTCATAATTAAATTATAACAAAAGTGCCACTCTGGTGGGGGATGCTCATAATGGGGACGGACATCTGTGCATGTGTGGAGGTAGGAGTATATGGAAAAATCTCTCAATTTTGCTATGAAACTGAAAGTGCTCTAAAATAGGAAGTCTTACAAAACTTGGAAAATCTGATTTTGAAAGTTGAATATTTTTATATGAATTTGGCTTCTTTTCTTCCTCTGTTCATGTGTTTTGCACTTTTTAATTGGGTTGTTAATTTTTTCTTGTTGGTTTGTAGGAACCCTTTCCACGTTGACGATCTGAAACTTTCTCCTCAGTTTTTTTCCGGGTAGATTTATGCTTCCATCTGACTGCACAACTACCCACTGCTGGTCAGCTTTGTTATTGAGTTAAGAGCTCTGTGCTAATGGAACCACAAAGATGGCTGAAAAGTGGGAAGAAAGACAGTGGAAATAAATTATCGGTCCCTCACAGAAGCATAAAATAACTAGCAAGCACAGCCATATCCCTAGTCCTAGGAACAGCACTTGCTCCCCTTGCTCTGGGAACAGTTGCACCAGATGGTTGGGTGCCCCTGAAGGCAGGCTTTTTAAGTCAATACAGGGGTGGGGAAACCAGTTATCTTCAGCTCTGTGTACCTGCCAAGGTTCTCTACAGAAAAA